CTTGCATGGTGTCCAAGTTTCCATCATCTTAGATAGAGGCACTCAGTTTACTTCGCAATTTTGGAGGTCTGTGCAGCGAGAGTTGGGTACTCAGGTTGAGTTGAGCACAGCTTTTCACCCTCAGACGGACGGGCAGTCTGAGCGCACTATTCAGATATTGGAGGACATGTTGCATGCTTGTGTCATTGATTTCGGAGGGTCATGGGATCAGTTTCTACTGCTTGCAAAGTTTGCTTATAACAACAGCTACCAGTTGAGTATTCATATGGCTCCATATGAAGCTTTGTATGAGAGGCGGTGTTGGTTGGTTCAAGCCTTGTGAGGCTAGGCTATTGGTGACAGACTTGGTGTAGGATGCTTTGGAAAAGGTAAAGGTGATTCAGGAGAGGCTTCGTATAGCGCAGTCAAGGCAAAAGAGTTATGCTGACAGGAAGGTTTGAGATGTGCCCTACATGGTTGGTAAGAAGGTTCTATTGAAGGTTTCGCCCATGAAGGGTGTTATGAAATTTGGGAAGGAAAATTGAGTCTGCGGTTCATTGGGCCTTTTGAGGTGCTTTGGAGGATTGGGGAGGTGGCTTATGAGCTTGCTTTGCCACCCAGCTTGTCGAGTGTGCATCCAGTATTTCATGTTTCTATGCTCCGGAAGTATATTGGGGATTTGTCTCATGTTCTGGATTTCAGCACGGTTTAGTTGGATGATGATTTAACCTATGATATGGAGCCAATAGCTATTTTGGGTTATTACGTTCGGAAGTGAGGTCAAAAGATATAGCTTCAGTGAAAGTGCAGTGGAGAGATCAACCCGTGGAGGAGGCTACCTGGGAGATCGAGCGGGAGATGCAGAGCAGATATCCTCACCTGTTTGAGACTTTAGGTATGTTTCTTGACTCGTTCGAGGACTAACGTTTGTTTAAGTTGGGGAGGATGTGACGACCCGACTAGTCGTCTCGTGAATTACAGCTCAGTTTCCCCCATTTCTGCTTCTTTATGCTTTGTTTATCCGTGTAATAGGGCATCGGGTTGGTTGGATCGAATCCGGAATAATTTTGATAAGGTTTGAGACACTTAGTCTCTTTTGAGGAAACTTAAGTTAAAAAAGTCAACTAGATCTTGACTTATGTGTTAGAGAGCTCGGATGTGAGTTTCGATTGTTCGGATAGCTTCGGAAGGTGATTTGGGAGTTAGGAGCGCGATCAGAATGAGTTTTGGAGGTTCGGAGTAGATTTAGGCTTGAATTGGCGAAGTTGATATTTTGGCGATATCTGGTTGGTAGGCGAGATTTTGATATAGGGGTCGGAATGGAATTCCGAGAGTTGCAGTAGCTCTATTTGTGTCATTTGGGATGTGTGCGCAAAATTTTAGGTCATTCGAATGTGGTTTGGTTGGGTTTTTTTTATCAAAAGCATAATTTAGAAGATTTTGGAATTCTTAGGCTTGAATCTGATGCGAATTTGGTGTTTCGATGTTATTTTTAGCGTTCCGAAGGTTGGAACAAGTTTGAATGAGGTTATGGGATATGTTGGCATGTTTGGTTGAGGTCCCGGGGGCCTCGGGTGAGTTTCAGGTGGTCAATCAGACAATTCATGTTGTTTGGAATTGCAGAAAAAACTGTTGAAATGTTGCAGAGAAATTGACCTTCGCGTTCGCGAGTAGGTCCTCGCGTTCGCGAAGGGTTGGTTGATAAGGCAGATGATTTTAGCCTTCGCGTTCGCGAGGAAGGCTCCGCGTTCGCGAAAGGATGGATGTTTGTACATCGCATTCGCGAGAAGGGGAGCGCGTTCGCGTAGAGGAAATTGGTCAGCTGGGTTTGATGTCGAGTTGTTCATCGCGTTCACGAGATAGGGAGTGCGTTCGCGAAGAGTAAGTCTGAGGAACCATCGCGTTCGCGATGGGCATGTCGCATTCGCGTAAAAGGATTTTTGGTCAAAGTCATTTTGTACTTCGCGAACGCGAGGCGTTGACCGCGTTCGCGAAGAAGGAATTAAGGCTTGGGCAGAACGTTTAAATACTCTTCTTGTTCGTGATTTTGGGATTTATTTCTTCCATTGTTGATCATTTTTGGAGCTTTTTGAAGAAGATTGAAAAGAGATTCAAAGGAATCACATGGTGGTAAGAATTTTGGACTTAAAACTCGATTCTAATGTGAATTCCACCTAAATAATCATGGAAATTAAGCCAAAAATTGAAGAACTAGGGCTTGGAAATTTAGACCTTTGATTGAGGATTTGAAGGACCATTTGAGGTCGGATTTCAGAACTTTTGATATGTAAGAACTCGTGGAGAGATAAGGAATCTATTGATGTAAAAATTATCAAATTCCAAGACGTGGGCCCGGGGGTCGGGTTTTGATAATTTCGGGATTTATGTTGTAAATTGATTATTTTAGCTTGGGATTCGTTCCCTTAGCATATTTTGACATCCTTATTCTGATTTTGGATAGATTCCGCGCGAGTGGAGGCCGAATCGAGGGGCAAAGGCATCGCGAGTTAGAGATTTGATTGGATTGAGGTGAGTAATGATTGTAGATGATGTTTTGAGGGTATGAATCCCGGATCGCACATCGTTGTGCTATATTGAAGTGATGCACACGCTAGATGACGAGCGTGAGGTCGTGCACCATTGGGGAGGTGACTTAGTCCGTCCCGAATGACTATTTTACCGCGTATTTGACTGAAATTTATTTGTTATCATCATTATTTGGGCTGAATGCCATATTTGGGCTTCATGTCAACTATTTGAATCATTCGGGTACTTTTATTGATATTTCCTCACTTTTTTGACTTTATACTTGAACTCAGTCATGTTATATTTTACCGTTTTTCGTACTCAGCCATGTTTACTCTGTTTTAACACTTAAATGATCTTTTAATGATATTTTGGGCTGAGAATCATGTTTTACTATTGCCCGAGTGGCTTGTGAGGATTTTGACTGAGTAAGGCCGATGACCTATGTTGTGAGGAAATATTTGATATTGATTATGAGGCCGAGGGCTTGAGGTATGTACGCTACAAGGTAGCTTGATTGATATGAGGCCGAGAACCTAGTGATGATGCCACGAGATGGCTTGATATTGCGCTTGGGCCGTAAAGGGGCCCTCCAGGAGTCTGCATACCCGAGTTAGCGCGAGAACCTATTGTGATGTGAGATTGAGCCCGAGGGGTTGGTATTGTTCTGAGATGTTGCCCGAGGGGCGGATTTGTTGATACGGTGCCCGAGAAGCGAACCTTTATGTGTTATCTTTTCTTAATTGCCTGCCAACTTACCTGCTTAATTGTTGAAAAAGACTTTTCATGAAGTTAAATTTGAGTTAAAGGATTTTTACCTATCTTTCACTGGTTTACTATTTTTTAGGGTTTTACTGCTTCATTATAACATGTCTTATGCCTTAAGTGATTTCCTGTTTTCAGTCTTTATTTATGATTATTACTCACTGAGTTGGAGTACTCACTTTACTCCCTATAACCTGTGTGCAGATTCAGGCGTATCGGGTCCCGCTCCCGAGTACTGATCATTTCCAGCTCCGGCGAATCCGAAGAGTCTCTAGTTAGCTGTCGGCGTTCACAGCCCAGAGCTCTTCCCTATCTTATTTCTTCATGTTCTTAGTTTCTGTATTAAACTCTGTAATTTGATTTGGAGTATTCCGGATTGTTTAGATGCTCATGACTAGTGACACCCCGGTATCGGGCTGTGTTGGGTTATTTTCTGCGAAATATGCTATTAACTGCTTAAACCTTGGTTTATTTGATCATGCTTAGACTGTTTCTTAATGCTTAACTGTTAAATACTGAAATGGGTAGTGTCGGCTGGTCTTGTCTTCATGAGAGGCGCCATCACGATCGGGTCTGGGTTTAGGGTCGTGACGGTATTCTACTATATATTAAGCATTATGTATTCATATATGTATTCAGCAGATTGTGGTGTATATATATTGAAGTTTGTATTCATATGTATTCACATATATCTACAACATGCATTTATATGTATTCCACTATATATTAAGCATTATGTATTTATATGTATTCAGCAGATTGTAGTGTATTGCCATATGTAAAATCGAATTATACCGATTGCTATATATATTTGTATGAATTTCGAATTTTATTTAGTAAACAAAACTTCTACGAACGATAGCAACAAAGAGAGGCAGAAATGAATCTCTAGAGATTGCTCTGTTTTGGGTAATTTTTGGCTAAGAATATTCTATAAGTGGAAATACAAATTATGCGTGTCATAATTGAGTTAGTTGAGTTATATTAGGAGTCTATCGCGTTAATTGATTCACTTACCGTTTTAAATAGCTAAAAGGACCCCTTTTTCCGTAGATTTACGTTACGGTATTCACGAATACAGCTCGCGAATATAGTCGAATACATTCTCTGCTTAGCTGGACTCCCCTATTTTTTGCCGAGTTTTGTTATTGTATTTATGAATACAGTAGCAAAAATACATCAAATACAGTCTATAACAATTGAAAACACAACTATAAAAAATAATTTAGTAAATGATAGCTATAATAAGTTAATAACCACTAAACAATAGTGATTCGTGAAAAATTCCAATATTTTATGAATGACCCTTCAAAAGCTTCAAAAGCCAACTTCCCTATACTCCTTAGGCAGAGTGTACAAATTAGTCACGAACCCATTTCTATAGGCGGGACCTCTGTCACGAGACATTGGTCCCACATTCATTATGAACTCCAAGTTCTTTCTCCTCCTTTTGATACAGACTAACAAAAAGCCAAACATGTCCTTAGATCCCACTATCCACCTACCGTCAATCCGAACACGGCTCTTCCCCTTGTGGACCACACCTTTTACCCCAAACGACAACTCATACTCTCACAAACGACAACTTTGTATTTTTCAACAGTAATTAATTCCAATTTTATTTGGCTAAGACCATACCACGTGCCGCTATCCAATTCGTCATTTCCTAGATATCCCTCCTCCTTCAGATCACTTCTCGTTTGATCAATAAATAAAGCAAATAGGAAAGTTACGACAGTTACTCAGTTGTAATTAGTCAGTTTTAGTAAGCAAAAAATAATTTCGAAAAACGTTTCTGACTATAGAAAAAAAGAGCACAGAGAAGTAATAATGAGTTCGGAAAATTGGAGTTTGACGGCGAAGCTTTGTGATTCGTGCAAAACGACGTCGGCAACGGTGTTCTGCCGGGCAGATTCAGCTTTTTTATGCTTAGGATGCGACTGCAAAATCCACGCGGCGAACAAGCTAGCGTCGCGTCACGCGCGGGTCTGGGTTTGCGAGGTGTGCGAGCAGGCCCCGGCGAGCGTCACGTGCAAGGCGGACGCCGCCGCTCTCTGCGTCACGTGCGACCGCGATATCCACTCTGCGAATCCATTAGCGCGTCGTCACGAGCGTTTCCCCGTTGTTCCCTTCTACGACTCCGCCGTCGCAAAATCTCACGGCGGCGTTAATGATGATGAGAAGTACTTTGATAGTCATGAGAATAATCCTCAACCGGAGGAAGAGGCGGAGGCGGCGTCGTGGATACTTCCGACGCCGAAAGAAGGGACTGATAATCAGTATAAATCAGCTGATTATTTGTTTAATGATATGGATTCGTATTTGGATATGGATATTATGTCGTGTGATCAAAAACCGCATAATATTCTTCAGCTGCATCAGCAGTATTGCTCGGATGGCGTGGTGCCTGTGCAGAACAAGAACGAGAGTAGCCATTTGCAAGGTCCAGTTGTTGATGGATTTCCAACGTACGAAATGGACTTTATTGGATCTAAACCATACTTGTACAACTTCAACTCTCAGTCCATTAGCCAAAGTGTATGTCCTCTTCTCTCTTCATTTTCTTCTGAATTGAGCTACAATAATAATTCAGTTCCTAGGTTCAAGAAAATGTATCACAGCTTTATGTTGCAGCTAGGTTTGTCAGAATTCAAAGAGATTGTAAAGACAACTTATGTTTGTATAATTTCTAAGTGTATGATCTCACTAATTATATGCGTTGGGTAAATTTAATGCAGGTTTCTTCATCATCTATGGACGTGGGAGTTGTGCCGGAGCACAGTGCAATGGCGGATGTATCAAACAGCTTAGTGATGAACTCATCGGCCGACACCGTAGCGAACGCAGTCTCTGGTTTAGACAGAGAAGCAAGGGTATTGAGGTACAGAGAGAAAAGGAAGAACAGAAAGTTCGAGAAGACTATTCGGTATGCTTCTAGAAAGGCTTACGCAGAGACCCGACCCAGAATCAAAGGAAGATTCGCTAAGCGTACTGAGATTGAAGTCGACTCCCTTCTCGCCGCCGATGCGTCTTATGGCGTTGTTCCATCTTTTTAGGAGTTATAAATATTTATGTGGAATTTGTCGACTAAAAAATGAAAAAACAGTTGGTTTTTAGTTTTCTCCTTTTCATGTTGTTATTAATGAGGATCATGATTATGTAAATATTCTTATTTTGTTCCAATTTTGTTCTTTATTTGGTATTTTGCCTTTCGTATTTGCAGTTTTGTGTAATTCAATTATCAGCAGCTGTTTTTATCTAAGAGATTAGCTCCACATCCTTCTCAAAAAGAAAGAGATCAGCTCCACGTACGGGAAACAAATTTCAGTAAGGATTAAGGATATCAGGTTTGAGCTTTGATTTTATTTGTCTGTAGAATGAATCTACAGGAGAATAATAATTTCACCAAAACAAAAAAAAACAAAAAAATCCAGGCAAAATTGCTATATCCTCGATTCAGAAGAGATAAATGAGTTTGGGAGGCTGTTCATTCTGAAAATACCTTAAATAGGTATTTGAGCCACATTAAAAGAGATGGATTTTACCCAATAAGGCTACTTGGGATTCTGCTTGAACGTAACGGAAGCCATTATCAATAAATAAAAGTACATCTTATTCATTAACTTCTCTAAAATATTTTTGTCATAGTTAATTAGGACATTCAAACCAACTTTAATACGAACTCTAGCGATTATCAGTTAACAAGCAGGAGCTCAAATTTGGTGTACAGTTAACCAGAAGCTGGCCCTTAGAAGTAGGGTTGTGCACGGATCGGATCGGATTTAGCATATTTCGGATTCGGATTCTAGAAAATGCAATCCGAATCCGATCCGAATTATATCGGATCAGATCGGATTTTAAAGTTTGGATCGGATCGGATATCGGATCGCATTATTATGCTTCAAAGTTAAACTAATATGTATATTTTCTTTGTAAAAGACGCAATACATTAAGAAAAATTCATGTTTATGCAATTATGAGAGTACTATGATGTCAATATAGCTAAATCTAGCAATTGTAAAGGTAATAACTTGGAGGTTGATGTAAATTAAAGTGTAATATTCATACATGTCCTAATAATTTCGGATTTTGGATTGGATTGGATTAAAATATACCAACCCGAAATCCGAAATTTTAATAAACACAATACGAAATCCGATCCAATCCAAAATCTAAAATTGAATGGATCGGTTCGGATTTCGGATATCTGATCCGAATAAACAGCCCTACTTAGAAGAGTTCTAGTAAGTAGTAGCTTGTTAATGGCAAAGAATTAATATATCTAAATATGGGTTTTAAGTGTTGAGGTTTTAAGCTAAAATAGGTTTAAAAGAGGGTAAATGAGAAATGAACGGAAAATGAATTTTTTAAAATTTTTCTCCTTGACAATGAGACATTGTCACATATTGGAAGAGGAAAAGGTTTTTGATGAGTATATATACAATTGTTCTTCTTGTAGCTTTTAAAGAGCTAAGAAGAAGGCAAGCCTCGCGCCGTTGTCGCTCGGCTCGACTTCAGCTTCAGATCTGGATTGATTGATTAATTTTTTGGACTAAATTTATTTGTTAATAGTAAATATTAACGTAATCCGTATCTGTAGCGGAAGATTAATAATCCAAATTATCCGTTTCATTGACTGTCCGTTTTTTGTAACGGAAAACGTTTCCTCTGCCCGTTTTAATTTGCGTAAATGGCCATTTTACGTAACTGGCCTCTGAAGAGTTACAACTCTTCATTTGAACTCAATAGGTTGGGGCAATAAATTGCAGTCCATTCTCTCAGATTTTCCATACAAATTTCTAAGTTCTCTTCCTTTCTTTTGCATTATTTTAACTACAAAGAAAACATCAGTAAGTGTGATTTACTATCGATCTTTGTGTTTGATGAAACACTGGGGTTTGAAGTACCGCTACACCAGTGTGTAATTCGTTTTAACCTGGAAGGAAAAATAATCCACAACCTTGAATACTAGGAGAGGATTAAATTCCTTAAGGAAACACTATGAATTCAGCGGGCTAATTAAATTCTGTTTCGTTTACATTTCTGTTTATATGCTATTTTATCTTCTCCCGAATTATGTTACAAATACAAAATACTAACATTAAGATCATTGTAGAATAGTCTTGTCACAAAGTAAGAGTTGATACAGTGTGATTAGAAGTTCATGAGTTCAAACTAAACACCTATTAGAAAAAAGAGTCCAAAACTTTTCTAATGCTTTTTTGGGCAAAAAATACGTTTTTACTACTAAAAAAAAGTTACAAAAATAAGTAAAACGCAGTATTATACTGCGTTTTAATTTAACGGAAAATTAGCCGTTAAAGTAAAACACAGTACTATACTGCGTATAAATGCAATATTGTACTACATTTTCCTATTAATATTGGGCCCAGCTATATTTAATTAAAGGGAAATGCAGTACAATACTGTGTTTAAGCAAAACGCAGTATTATACTGCATTTTGCTTTAAAATAATAAAAAGTCATTCTTTCTCAAGACAACGACAGAACCATCACCATTAAAAAAGAACATCCCTGCTGGTCCCCCCCACCCCCACCCCCCNATTTGTGTCATGTTTGTGTTTAAATTTGTATCTTATTTATACCCGGATTGATTTATTAGCTTTGGGATAAAAAATTGTTAAAATTTGATAAATAATTTTTAATGTTAATGTTATGTTTTTATTTGCTTAAATAATAAATAAATATTATTTATTTAGTTTGTTGTTCATATTTGTATGTTATGTTTGTTGTTTTTATATGTAATAGTAACCTTTTAGCGTAGTAAAATATAGAGCCTTTTAGCGTAGTAAAATATAGAGCATTTTAGCGGAGTAAAATGTAGAGCCTTTTAGCGTAGTAAAATATAGAGCATTTTAGCGGAGTAAAATGTAGAGCCTTTTAGCGTAGAGTCTCTACAGTTTAAGTATGTAGTAACTGCAAACTCTATCCAATTACACTTTACAAAATTAATTATTTAATTTATAAAAATAAACTTACAAAAGTAAAAAATTAATATATGTTGTCAAATTAACTCAAATATCGAGCCTGGAACCCATACATAATTATTCAGTCCAATATTAAAAATAATTAATTATTTAATTTATTAAGCTAACAAAATTCTAAAAATGTTGAAATTGACACGCATAATAATTAAGGATAGCTTGATGCTACCGGGCCTCAAATATCGAGCCTGGAACCCGTACATAATTATTAAGTCCAATTCAAGGAATTTTAATTTAATTTATTAAACTAACAAAATTCTAAAAATGTTGAAATTGACACGCATAATAATTAAGGATAACTTGGTGTTATCGGGCCTCAAAAATCGAGACCGGAACCCATAAATAATTACTCAGTCCAATATTAAAAATAATTATTTAATTTATTAAACTAACACGCACAATTAATTTTCTTTAAATTATAGTAAAAGACATGGACTTTCCGCTTGCGCATCCTGGACCTGTCGAGGATCAGCTATTAGTGTTGCACGGCGACCATAGGTCCTCCTTTGTATGGGAGGGACAACTATCGGATGAGCCTATCCGCGCCAGGAGACCTGACGATTTGTGGCAGTTCATGGCGCAACATCCTTTCCATGCCCGCGCAGTCGCGTGCCTACAGGCTATGGGCTTCTATACGATTTTTCGGATTGGGCGGATGCAGCTTGATTGGTCTCTCATCACGGCCTTGGTAGAGCGGTGGAGACCGGAGACACATACTTTTCACTTGCCCACTGGAGAGGCCACCATCACGCTGGAGGATGTTCAGGTTTTGTACGGGCTGCGCGTAGATGGACGGGCCGTGGCACTGCCCCAGTACATTAGATCCATGACGCGTGGACAATATTTGGATATGATGGGGCAGTTTACTGGTTATAGACCTCAGGATGACGCTGTACAGAGAGGGGCAGTCGCATTGCCTTGTCAGACATCAGAGATCATATGGCGTTTTTGCACCCAAACATTACCGGCGAGACAGAGGATCTCCATATTGAGAGGTACACGTGGTTGGCGTTGCTCCTGCTTTTCGGGTGTGTCTTGTTCCCGAACACTTCAGGGAGTCTAGTGAGTATGCGTTTTCTCCATCATCTTCAGCAGCTGGATGATTTACCCTTGTACAGCTGGGGTGCTGTTGTTCTCGCATACCTGTATAGGAGCATGTGTCGGGCGAGCATGCTTTGCGCGGTGGACATATGTGGATTTCTGCCCCTCCTACAGGTGACAACATTTTCGAATACTTTGTCCATTACTCCGAATTCTATATGGTCGAAATGACTCATAAATTTTACATCAACCTTTTATCTTAGGTTTGGGCCTGGCAGCGGATCATGCCGTTGCAGCCACCTCTACCACCACTTGCGCATGATAAGGCTTATCCATTTCTCCCTCTAGCTTCTAGGTGGGTTCTCCGGCATGGGAACTACCGAGGGACCGATGCTCATCATAATCTCCCCCTTGTTAGGGATATGTTAGATATGCTGGTGGCCGGACAGGTAAATATGTACCTATACTTACTTGTTATAAATTGAGTTGTGTTGCGCATACTCACTTTTATGTTATTATTTGGTAGTTCATTTGGATGCCATACAATGACGAGTTGCTAGCTCAGCTGCCCGATTATTGCTTAGTCGACCAACTGCTTTGGAGCACCTCCGTCCCGATGATCTTCTTCGATATGGTTGAGTATCATGCCATAGAGCGTGTGCTTCTCCAATTTCACCGTCCCTAGCCTATACTAGGGGAGCCTGCATGGGTCCCTACACACTATCAGCGGGAGGACCGTGTCAGGGTGGACGATATATTTATGGGATGGCTAGAGTAGCAGGTCCATATTTGGGAGCAGTGAGAGTACTGTATTTCGCCACCACCTTCACTTACCTAGGAGGCCACTATTTATCTGTATACATCATAGTACCGCCGTCACACCCGACTGATGATCAGGAACCCCATTCATGTACTTGGCGAGCGCTACAGACCATACGCCGGAAGGCACGAGTCATTAGTATGTTTTTGTGGCTTATTAATATCTTATATTTGTTATATAGCGTTATTCTTTTAATATCTTAAGTGTTTCACAGGCTATTGGGCATCACCTGGTCTACCGGTTGGGACAGGAGATGCAACAGCATACCGACAGTGCTGCACTCGTTGAGTATGGCTGGCGGGTGGTAGATCTGGCTCGTCGGACCCTAATTCAAGCG